ACAGATCTCACACCGATGAACAGAAAGGAGCATAATAGATACTTGCAACATTTGTCTTTTACGGTCTTTTAAGTTTTGCAACATTATCCCTAATTGATATGGGACAATAATTGTTTATTGTTTTTCTTTTTCTTTTAACGCTAATCGCACTATTTATTTGTTTATTTATATATTTTATTGCTTTCCTCTCCTAGAGAAGTACAAATTACAAATTACAGAGTATTTAAAATCAATTTAAATATAAAACCTTTCTTTGCTAATCAAAATGTCACTTTTAATAACTTTCCACTACTCTAATAAATTTTCATGTAATTACAAGTGTTGCAAGTATTTAAAAATCAGTACTCCGTATTATTATTTGTATATGCTCCTACCTCCTGTATTCTCTTTCATCATTCCCGTACCGTTGTATGTTAAGGTGAAGGTGAAAAGCATAAACTAGATAGAGAAAAGCTCATCGTCTTTATTTACCAAAATATTTATAAGTTTGACTTCAGTGGTAAGTATTGTATCGCTCATCCTTAAACTCGTGTATAGTTTTAGGACTGTTCTCTTCAGCTTAATTTCATTTCGGTTCAGTTCAGTTCCTAATTTCCTTCTGTCATGAACAATACATTTCAGTTTAATGTAACTCCAATCAATTCTGCTTAATTCAGTAAATCAGAATAGGCTCTTAGTATGTAAGACATTTTCTTACTAATAACAATTAAAGAACTGGACGATGAACCTTATTCTTATTATTCGTATACTGTTGATATACTCATCTTACTCTTCTACGTTTTTCCTCCTTTTTGGTATTCATTGACACCAAAAAACAAAGTCAATAATCTGGCTGTTCATGTGGTACTACTGGACTAGTTTGCTAGTCCTTGTCGAACTGAGAATTTTTGTTATGTTTTTTGTTGTTTTATTTACTCTTTCATTATGACAAACCATTTCAGTGGTATAAATGTGACAATACAGAGCCGCTGATTCTTCTAACTTGGACCTATCATATACTACCACGTGGACTAAGACATACGGTGTAAACATGGGTATATCTGCCATTTTTATACCTAAAAAAACAAAGTATTAAGACAAACTACATTCATTGTACAGGCGGTGAACTAAGAAAAAGAGTGACATTATTACATTTTTTTTTCTTTAAATTACTTGTCCTTTCAAATTAGTTGTCACACATTAAGTATATAAAAATTGTATTTTCAAGCGGAGAATAGGAGACAGAAAATATTGTTAATATTAATAATATTACAATTAATATAAAATTGTATACATAACAAAATGTATTTGTATGACTATATGTAGTCTCTCTGTTTCTTTTTATTTGTCCTAATTTTCTTTTTAAGGCGTCTTTTTAAAATTTGTCCTAATACTTTACTCTCATAAAATACTTTAAATTCTGCTTTTTTTTTTCTTCTTTTTTTTTCTTGCATCAAATTTACTTAACTAAAACTTAATAAATTGAAATATCTCTACGGAATAAAAAACCGAGGACGGAAGGAGTATTTAATTGGAGACGAATGGGAGAAGTAGTTTTTTAAAATTAACCTATTCAAGTGTATGAATCTTCCCATAACTATTTATTTATACTCATCTGCTCATCAGTAACCCTTGTTCAAGTAGTTAATATTGGTCAGAGGTAGCAGAATCCAGTTGCATGGATGCAGAAGAAAGTAAAAGTGTACACTTCAAATCCAATCTTGGTCTATATTGGACGTTGAACAACACGCTCTGAAATTATCTGAACACCCTTTTTTAAGTAGCTACTCTTAATTGGGTTTTTCTTCCTCTTTTTGATTGGTTACTCATTAATTAATGTCTTGGGAATAGTTGATGTTCCTATATATATATGGTCATTTCATTCATACCATATTTATGGACAGACAATGGTCTAACCAACTATAAGCTCTTTTTACTACCTCCGTGTTACCGTGTATATTATTTGCTACAATTTGACATATTTTTCGTTGCAGATAATATACGAAGTATAATGGAGGTAGTAGTTATTGTCAAAAAAATTGTGGTAAAGTTTGTGGAGAAGTGAAATTGAGGGTTTTCCAATGGAGTAAAAGATTTTCAACACTTACAAATTTGAGGTATGAAGAGTACTCCGTAACTCGCTAGCTTAGTCATACATGATAAAATGAACACGCATTCAACAACAGTTTATTCAGTTGCATCTTATACATATGACTTAAGCCTTAATTAGATCGTAAAAGAGTCTGCTAAGTGTACACGATAATGGCCTAGACAATCTTCTTCAATGTTTAAGTTAACATGCACGATCAATTATGAATATGAAGAATTGCAAGAACATCTATAGTGATTTTATTGGTGTCTAAATTTGTGTCAACTAATTACCCTTACAAGTAAATTTGGTGAATTCACTTGGTAATGTTTGTTATTTGTGACTTTGAGGTTATGAAAGCACACATTTTTAATTAAGGGTTTTCTTTAGTGTTGAGCTTTCTTTACTATTCCCTTCCAAATGGTTAGGTCTAATAAGATTGGATATACCTTATATCCAACTATATGTCTAATTGTCTAGACTTTAAGTCTGCATTTTTGTAACACACTTTATAATATTAATTAATATGATTTTATGTCACCTCAAATCCGACTGTAATTGAATCATTACTAGGTCAAGTTAAAATTGAAATTCCTAACATATTGAGTTAGATTTAGATTGATATTTAATACATTAGATTGAACTCGAGTTTGTTTAAGTACAATAGCAAATTGTTTTAGCTTTAATCAAGCTCTAGCTAGTACTCCTCGAGTCAAGTTTAAGTTCAATACTCTAACATTTAGGCTCATATCGAGTGTTAGTCTCCTTGAGTCAAAACATAATTTGGTTCAAATTTTAAATTCTCAAGGCAACTCAAATGTTATGTCAATTTTGGTGTGAATAATATAAATGTGACGACTATATTATCGAATGTCATTGGTTCTGGTCAATCGATTACAGACCAATTAGATTCCGTCAATTTGAATCCGGTCAACTTCAACTTTCAATTCTATTTTTAAAACTTTAGTTACAAGCCATTCTCCATTATAGTGTATCATTTCTCTTTACTAAAGAAGTCATTCACAAAACTAAACTCATTCAATAAGACAAAGTCAATATACCTTTCTTCAAGGTGATGGTTGGAAACCCAATCTACTAAAGTAAAGACATGGAACGAGGAAGAAGTGGGCACTAATGCACTATAGAATGCACCTGCAAAAGAAATTAACTCAAAGTTAAGTAAAACAGATAGCATGTCAGACTACTAGTGTACTCTTTTTTTCTTTCTTTCTTTCTTTTTTTTATCTACTATGTATTTTATTCTTTAATTTATACTACGTATAATAAACCAATTCAACCCTTAACACCCACGATTTTTTTAGGCCTATTATTTATGAGTCAGACACTTAATAAAAAGGAGAAGAGCCAAAGAGGCGATGAATATCTCCACTTCCATGCACACTACTTAATAAGATTCAACCACTTACACAAGTACACGATAGTAAAAAAGAGTCTTACCAAATGAGTCGATCATTGCTCTGAATGTCAGACTACTAGTGTCCTGAGTACTAAAAAGAAATGAGAGATAGAAAAGGAGAGAGAAAGAGCTAAATTCCATTTCCCAATTCATATCATGCACACATTCAGTTGACACAACTCTCAACATTACAACCCACCAATCTCTTCTGAGACTGACATGCAGAACAACTGCATTTGAGAGTACTGTCTATGCATCTCTCTGTCTTATCTCTTCTGTTTCCTAAGCCCATACATTCATCCCCTTCTTCTGCTTTGCTACTAACTTCAACTTCCCCTTTTTCTTCCTATTTATACAACAACAAAAATTGAAATTACTTGCCTTCAATTCATAAACTATTCAAACTACACACCTTTTGTTCTCTAAATTCTTCTGCTACATTACATTACATTACACCTAATAATTCTGAGTTCTGAGATATTTTGCCTTGTTCTGTACTAGCTATAGTCTGATCCCCTGCTTCTTATCTTCAAGGTTCATATTTCTATCTAATTCTACTTTTTTTTTGTCATCAATGTTCATTTTATTTTGTTGTATGTCTATGCATGTGCGACTGTTTTTATTCTCATACTCGCTTTGTCCCACTAAGATTCCATTTATATTTCGAGTATGCCCCTATTCCTTAAATGGAACAATGCCCCCTCCTCGATTAACAACCCATGTGCACCACAAAAGAATCAACTCTAAGAAAACAGACAAAAAGATATGGGACAATTTTAATGGGACATAGGCGTTCAGGATAAGAATGTTAGATGTTGCTTAATGTTTTGAATTTAGTAAGGTAGCTTAGCAATGTTAACTAAATAGATGTATATGCTTTTGTGGTAAAAGACTAAAAGTGTCACATGATGTTACAATTCAACTTATCAAGAGCTTTATCTTGAAAATGGATCATTTGATCATTAATATTATGCTTTAATTAAAATAGCCACACAATTGCATAGCTTACATGTGTGAGTGTAGAAGCAAATATGTAGTTAAAAATGATTGCATTGAATAAATAGTAAAAGGATTATGAAATGTGTGGCAAACGGTTTGTTGATATCTAGTGCACCCAAATTAGTAAAAGGGTTATGGTTGCATTTAATGTGCTTTATATATCTTTGGTTATGTTGCTCATACTTTTACATTAGAATTACAAGTTACAACGGGTGCACCAGATATTTTGGATGTCCGAGTTTAGACTGTGATGTATTGAGTTAGAATGAAGAGTTCGAGTTATAATACATAAAATAAGACGAATTTGCTTTAAACCCCCATCCTCCACTTTTTAAGAAAGATCACCTAGTCTTTAACTTTTGTCTCAAGTGTTGATGGGCCTAATATGTTAACGTTATTCCTACACATGATTATGTTTTACATAATTTATGACTTGTAGCACACAAATTTGGTACATGTGAATGTCTTTTACATAAACTTTATGATCTTACTAAGTTTTTAAAAAATTGTGTAGATATGGAGAAACAAGAGGGTGAAACTATCCACAACAATATGGAAGAAAGAACCAAAGTATTCCCTTGTATGTTCTGTTCAAGGAAATTCTATAGCTCACAAGCTTTAGGAGGCCATCAAAATGCTCACAAAAAGGAGAGGATTGCAGCAAGAAAAGCCAAGAGGGTAACTGAATATTCTCTCCTCAACGCGTACTCGCCACCATCGTCTATGTCGTCGCTATTTTTTTCCGGCAACCACCACCAGCAACATCCCCATATGGCCCTCCTTAGTAGCCCACCCCCACCACCAATTTACATTGCCTCCCATGCTTCCAACATGTCTCATTTTCCTACTAATAATCAACTTTGTGACCCATTTGGGCCTGGTGGGCCGACTCGATTTCCTAATATGATGGTTTATAATAGTAATGGTGGGAGTGGCCCAATTAATCCTTACTCATCATGTTGTGAAGAGGCCCATGACCAAAATATGGGAAATTGGCAAAGGGAGTTGAGGTTTGGTGGGCCCAATAATACGAGTTCAATGCAAGTGTTGAAAAAGAATATGGAGACTTTTGGGAGAGATTGTCATAAAGAGATGGAAATGAAACTTGATTTGTCTTTGCATTTGTAAAAAATAAGATTAAATGGAGGCTTTGTATTTTGAAATTTTTAGAACTTTAGTTTATGACTAGGCTTGGAGCCTTCAATTTTGGCAAAGGGAGAGAAATTAAATAATAAAAGAGTTATGATGAATTTGGATCTTTTTATGCTTGCATTAGAGCTAAAAGAAGATTGTACTTTTGTTGGTACTATAATTCACATTTCTTCCAAGATTTTTGTAGGCAAAAGAAAAAGCCAAAACACTACATTTAATAAATCTATTCAATTAATATGATAATTATCCCTAATAAGAAATATTATTATAAGGCTCTATGTTTATTAGATATTTGCTTACAACAGCTTGACTTTTACAGTATCTGTATAGGTGTAGAGGAAATTCTTTGTACTCCTTTCGTCCCTTTATTAGATGTCTACTTCTCTTTATGTCTACTTCTTTTTATTATGTGAGCGAGAAATAGACATCTAATAAAGAGACAATAAAAAAGAGATGGAGGGAGTATTATTATTCCTCGATCTTATAGTCAACTTGTTTACTCAATAAACAAAATAAATATATAGATGGGAATATAACAATGAGAATTCCAATATACATAGCCAATCACTTGTCACTTAAACATGACATAATGCATAAAATTGCTAAAAATGGTTTATCAAATAAGAGACGGAGATAGTACTATTATAATACCTTTGTCTTCTTTGTTATAAATTTCTCTCAATGAATGTTCAAGCCATTAGGCCCGGCCAATTACTGCAAACACAAATGAATGGTTAGAATGGGCCAAATGGTCTGCTTTTGTAGAGTTGTTAGCCCATCAATTATGTCACGTGCCTCCTTCCTTTGGGCGGTAGGTCTCTTGTATCAAGCTGATATCTTTGCCCAAAAAAAATAAAATCCACTCATAAAAATATATATTATTTAAAATGAAATTACTTAAACAAAATGTGGTTTATTGGGACCAAATAAGCAAATACACAATGTTTAGTTATAAATGAGCTAAAAAGTATTAACCAATCACACTAATTGCGTATATATGTCGCTCGTGGAGTATCTCCTTTGCCTTTCTCAAAAAATACTACTCCCCTTTTCCTTGAAAAGTTGTTGTATTTAGCCTTTTTGCATCAAACTTAACTTGTTTTGATCATGGATTTACTAGAAAATATATTGATTTGTAATATGGATAAACATAAAGGTACCTTTTAAGTTTGATTTGATAAGATCTTTCATAATAAGATATTAGTTTGGTTGCCACAAATGTGGTTCTAGTTGGTATTAAACTATTAATATAGACATACATGATAAAATTATAAATTGACTGACATTGTTAGCATTTGACATATGCTTAATGTATACCACTTTAACAAATTACAATTTAACAAATACAGAGCAAAAGACAAGGCAATTCTTTCATACCGTAAACTGGAGGATGATGTTGGTACTATTAAGGAATGGATAAATCACTTTTTATATTTAGGGCTTCCTAATGTTTATTTTTCTTACTTTTTACAAAAATTATGAAGTATCACTTTTCATATTCACTCTATGCTCACAAGAATGTTTGATGATATAAAACAATACTGTATTGAATATAAGATAATACTATAATGATAATATGCCTTGATATCATAAATATATAAAATCTAAATAAAACAATTTGCAGATAGTTGGAATAAATCTAATAACAACTCATTTGAAAATCTAACCTTTTTTTATACATTAGTATAAAAATACATTAAAAGTTTAATCAAACAATGGCATGAAATTAGATAAGATCAAACTATATTTTACTTAAATTGGACTAAACACTTTATTTTAAGTTGAAGAGACCAAGTGTGAAATCATACTATTCATCACTCTATAGTGGTCAAATTCATTTTAAGGAAGGATCAATGATCAAGTCAAAACAATTTAATGTATTTCAAAATTCTCAATCAAGTCACTCTTAGCTAATTCTTTATAAATGCAAAAAGTTAGAAACATTAATTTCCAACTTTTATAGGCCAAACTTTTTTGGAGAAAAGAAAACAATAAAAGTAGAAAAATGGAAAAAAGAACACACATCCTATAATTTTGTTTTTACATACTTATAATCCAATCAGAAAACAAATTAGATACAAATACTACTTTAATTTTCAACTAGTTTACTTAATTTACCAATAATTGTGGATGATGCAAACAATCTAGAGTCCATTACGCCATGACATGCTACTGTTTATATCAAAAGTTGAGTGCGTAATTTGTACGTAGATTATATTAACTATGATTAAAAAAAAAAAAAAAAAAAAAGAGTCAAAGAAGCAGTTAGTTTAATATTTTTTTTTTTTTGGTGCTCTGTTAGTTTAATATTATAATGAGAAATAATAGACAGTCAACCTAATATACGAATATTCAACCTTAGAAAAAGTTAAATTTGTGGCTTAATTAGTGGAGCCCCCTTAACAAACGGTAAATTTAGCAATTGTACCAATCATATTCAATTATCTACTCATTTTCCATTTATTGCCGTGATTGTCGGACCTTCTCTTTGTCTCAATAAGTCACTGGTTAGTAGGGATCCGGTGCCCATTGCTCCATTACCCATTTTGTTGAGGAACTCACCACAAAATAATGCGTCGATTGGTGTTATGTTATGGTATATGAAAATGCTACTCTGTATTATAAGATAAGACTAAAATCGTTTGTTAAAATAAATTGCGGTAGTAATCTTAATTATTTTCCAATATTTGTAGTAATGTAGGTTTTTGTTTGACTGTATATTAATTTCAATAAAGGGTTAAGAATATTGTTCCTTTTTTTAAAATCTAAAATCAACCATCAGTTCACACTATTACCTACACCGGCTTAATTATGTTTATGCGGCTGGCATGCATTACACATGAAGTAGCTCTTTGCAAAATTGGACCAGCTCTCTATTTGAAACAATATTCTTTTTTTTAATATATTTTTTCATATTATTAACTAACACTAATTGTTTAAATTGGTTTTGGTTTAGGTACAATTTTACTTAATACAAGTACAAAATTTCCACTCCATTCGGATTAACAATCATGCATGTTGTTTCGGGTGAAAACAATGGGACCTTGCCGAAGGTCCGATGAAGCGGAGAAGACTAGATTCGATCCAAGTAATGTTGGGCCGAAGGTTTCCTGCACAGTAAACACACGTAAACTAGCCTCGGGGGTGTTGCCGAGGAAGGCCCCTCCGATGCTAAAGTCAGTACAGTGCGTAGAAAGAGAACACTATGCAAGAGAATTAATTGCTTGAGGCTTTGCTTGAATGAATGTACAAATGTAATATTGATGGCTTTTATACCTCTTCATACATGGAGAAGTTGGGCCTTAGCCCAATTGGCTTGCCTTGAGGACTGATCTTTGACTTTAGCACAATTGGAGAGATGAACCTTGACCTTGGGCTTTTAATTGGATCATTTAATGCCTAAGCCCAATTGGACTAAATTGGACCCAAACAACTTGCCCCCCAGACCCGATTTGGAAGGATGACGGGTCGGGTTTGATTTAATCAGAAAAGGAGGGAAGTGAATGATTTAATTAATCCAAAAATTTGAATTTAAACCGTAATTAATGAGATAACAACGGTTAAGGCGGATGATTGTGGAAGTTGGATGGATAATGGGCAGTTTAATCGCAAGGTCGTGTGTTTAACGGTTACTTAGTGGGGTATTTAAGAGAAATTGAAACGCGGACTCCCCGTATTCCCATTTCTGGAGATATAATCAGAGGCGCGTCATCTCTCCTCACTTATTCACCAACACAAACCCAGAATTCTCGAGAGAACCCAAGAACCCGCATCAAAACTTCGCAAATTCCCCGAGCATTAAGCTTAGAAACTGAGACTTGCCACTACCAATTCGTAAATCGGCAACTTTCGCTTCAGATTAAGGTAAATTCCTTTGATTTTAGTTTATTTTTCTTCGAATTCGAACTCCTTCCCTTTTTTTCGACTTTTCTCTTCGAAATTATCAATGGCGAGAGGAGTTAGGGGTAGAGCCCGTGCTCCAAGAAGAGCAAGGCCAATTCCCGATCCTAGGAACAGGATTGGGACCTGGAATGGACAAAGAGCAGAGTCTGACCCTGCTGAAGGGATTAGGGCGACTCCAATTTCCTCGGCTCCTCCTCAGAGAACGGAGGGGCCGAGCGCTTCTGGGCGGGACGATGAAGTTCTCGCTGTCCTTTGGGATATCCTCCCCGGGTTTTCAGAGTGGGAGGATGCCGAAGTAGCTTCGACCATGATAAAGAACCGCCCCTACTCATGGTGGGTGGAGAATGCCGAACAGTATCGGTTTTCCGAACAAATTGAGTTGCATTACGGCATCCTTGAAGCTGATGGGTATTGGTGCCGAATGCCCGTGGCATCCGATAGAATCCATCGTCCACCCCCGGGGTATGTGGGGGTGTACACAAGACAACTTCAGTATGGGCTGAGGTTCCCTTTGGACGTATTCGTCCGAGACTTGCTGATCCATTACAATATTTCCCTATGTCAGCTAACTCCTACTAGCATACACATACGTAGTACATTGTTTCGATTTAAAAAAATTTATGTCCATACCGTTATTGATTTATATATAACATGTACGATTGTGTTAGTTACTCGAAAGAAACTCAATAATTGACATAAATCTCAACTGACTAGCTACAAATATAATAAGATCATATCTCGATCTTTTGAATATACACTGTCCATACTCAATCCGATCCATAGCTTCCTACATTGTATTGGATTAATCCTAATATATAGGGATATAAACAATAATAACAGTCCAAACATTCATGTATGAGTAAAAATGTGGAATACGTAATATAATTATTCAATGATTATTAGTTAATATAGTTATTAGTTACAAGTCTAATGTAGGAGTAAGACAAGGCATGATTTAGGTAGAAAGGTAACATTACGTATGTACATAACTCCCTGACACTATCTTTATTGTTACTTCATACTTATTTATCATATGCATGGAGAATTGGAGATTGAAACGTTTAAGATTTGGG